TGGCCTCTGTGCCAGACCTTGGAGGCAGTACCAGCTGTCATTGGCGCGGCGCTAATTTGTGTGCTTCTTGGCGACCTGTACAGAAGGAATGTAAACATCCCGATGTCATCTTTCAGCTCCGACTCTCCACCTGGCAAGCTGGTAGGTGCTATGAGTCTGGAGAGTCTATCCAAGGACCTTGCAACGAAAAACTCATTTCCTGTCCCTAACACCTTTCACCGTGCTCGCCAGCTGGTGCAGAAGGCAGGAAAGTCTGTTGAGGACTATCTGTTGCAGGGGTTCATTGCAGAGAAGCTTCACTTCTTCCCAGCCATCAAGTTCAGGGACATTAGGGGTGGAAAGAAGATCTGGTGGAACTTCAAAGACTTTTTACAGGTCCACCTAGGAGCAGAGAAACCTTTCCCAATGTCTGAGATCGCCACCAGAACCCTGCAAGTATGCACAGAGATAGAGAGACGGTCTCTGGCATACTCCCGGTCATTAGAAAAATACCGGGACCATGGAATGCCATGGATGGCGAAAACACTGCAGCGGCGAAAGGACACTCCTCACTTCTTTTGTAGGGACTCGAATTTGGCTCCATGGGCCGTCTACCAGCACCCAAACAGACCATGGGGTGCAAGCACTGTGGGAACACAAACTCCAGCCCTTCCCCCTCTTAAGTGCCACCCCAAGAGCCTTGCCCCAGACACAAATGCTTGTCCCTTTCGTCACCACCATACCCTCAGCCTAGGGAAGCATTCTCTACCGCTAGGTTAAGTTTCCTTTTGTGTGACTGGGACCAGGAACTACAGCTCTGTCTTCCTACCTCCAGCTGAACCTGATGTTGCATGTCAGCTATAAAAGCCAAAAGTTTTGTTTTATGTGTTAAATACTTTGTATACACATCACTTGTTTAAAAAAACTATTATTTTAATATTTCTTTTTTGAAGATATCAATCCTTTGTAAATGTCCCGTCTCAAGGTAATAGCATTTGTATTATTTAACTGTCTGGAAATGGCAATATAATATTGAATTTAACATATCTCACATAATTCTTGTTTGATTTGCAATAAAACATGTAAAATTCATTTCTTCTCCTTGTATTATATTAAACTGAAGGGAAAACTGTACAGCATGATTAAGAACTTTTATTAATATGAAGGGACAAATGTGGAGTCAGGTAAGAGTTATAGGGCAAACAGTAGCAACCCACATAACTTTTAGTTTTGTTTTACTGTTAAAACATCTAAAGACAATACAATAAAGTGGATTCAGTGTAACTTCCAGCTTCTGGCTGGGATACGTTAATATACAACATGTTGTTAAACTCAGGCGGGGGCAGTCTTGTCTGGATTCCCTGTGAACCCTCGAACAATATTGTGGCATCAAGTCCACTCTCAAGTACATCTTTACTTGATCCGTAGCTCATTGCTGTCAATCTGAAAGCCATGAACCTCCTGATGTCCACCAGGTATCCCTTAATGGTTGCCCCTGGCCTCACATCCTGGGGCAGGCTGCACTTTCCTGAAGTAGGTCTTTACCTGTCACCTTAAAGCTAAACCAAAAGCAAATTGGTACCAAAAAATATAGTGAAAAACAAAGAAAGATAACTTCTTCTATAAAAAAAATAATTCCAAAAGAATCTATCAGTTATCAAAATTAAGCGTGAAATGTGTGAAACGCAAACAATTCAAATCATGGCTGGGGCATCCTAACAGATGACATTTTATCACTTTAGACAGACAGTAGCTTTCGATATCTGAACAAAGCATTAATCTATCTCAGGGACTCTCCCCTTGTCACCTGACCATATATATATATATATATATATATACACACACACATATACACACACATATATATATATATATATATGTATATATATATATACACACACATATACACACACATATATATATATATATATATATATATATATATATATATATATATATATATATATATATATATATATATAATGTGTGTGTACTAAGGATATAGTAGGTGGGTACCCTACAAAGTAAATAGTAAAAAACATAGAAGATAGCAACAATTACTGCTAATCTCTGTAGTCGATCCAGCAAAAACACTTCACTGTGATCACCTGCAGACCTTCTGTTCTCTGTCAGCGTTTGACTTCTTCACTTGGTAAGTGTGCCTGACACATTCCCTGAAATTTTCATTCAAATCTAGGGGGAAACTACAAATGCAAGAAACGGGCGTGGCATCACACAAATTAGACTGTACTATTGTAAAAAAAGATTTGAATCTTTGAACCGCAGCTTGTAACGGCATGCTATGTATTTGCCTTTCCTTTCTACAAGTTGTCTTCAACAGAGCATCTTTTTCAGATAATGGCTGACAAAAGTGGAGTGGAAGATGGCACTGACTTCAGTCCAGTAAGTATGCCTTAAATAAATTTGTAAATCTGTATGTTTACACCATGCATAAATTATTGACATGTCATTGGATATTTTTCAATGAAACATTGGGCTCTCTTGTGACTAAATAATGTGGACAACTGTGTTGCCAAATAAGTCTTTTGATATTTCCCATAGTGCACTCTGAGTATTTTAATTTAAATACTTTGTGCCTAATAGGATGAGATGAAAGTAGCTTTTACACTTTTCCTTTACAGTTTCAGCACAGCAACCACGCCAGGATTTCATATATTACAAAATTGTCATTCAACCTAATTATATAGCTCTCAGCATTGTTGTTTAAATAATTCCATACTGCTATTTCAATGAATAGTGTGCATTGAAATATCAGTGTGGAATTACATCAAACAGGGCAGTGAATGCTATATCACTGGCTGGAATTTTGGAGTTGGGGGCATCTCAGTGTATTGTTTATTGTATATTTGTGAATTGTGATGCATCAGTCAGGTTTAACAACTGTTGTATTGTGCCATTTTGCAGGAAAGTGACCTCTGGGTCACCTCTGTTGAGGAACACCACCTGCCTGTGCCTCCTCCTCATCCTCCTCCTCCTGAATTACCTGAGGAAGATGACAACGTATGTATAGTCTATACTAAAAATCAATTAAATTCACATCCTTATATGCAGTTTTATTTACTTTTTTTTCTCCAGTACTTTGCAGATGATGAAGATGAGCCCATGGAAGAAGGAGACTGATTTTTTATAGTTCAATGAAGGCATGGATTTGTTCATAAAGGAAGTTTTAAATTCTACATTCAGCAGTCAGACAAATATCGCCTCTTTAGTTATAACATTAACATTCAATTGAAATCGTTTCTGTATCTGCTTATTGTTTTATTTAATTGTAGTGCCAATGGCCTGATTAATTTTAAAAGCAATATATTTATATAGTTTAAATAAGGCATACATTTTTTATATTATATATAATATTTTATATATTTTTTGTTTAAATAAAGAAAATAATCTACTCCTCTCCTTGTATCTTTGTATAAGATGATATGTGTATGATATATTTAATCTGTAAATAGTTTTGATTTTGAATGACGTTTCAGGCAGAAACCCTCTACCAGCAGTCACACAAATATGACCTCTTAGTGCATCCACACAAATATTTCAGTATTCTGCTTATAGTTTTAATTTATTTGTAGTGCCAATTACATGGTTAATTGTAAAAAAAAAAAGAAAAAAAAACCCCTCACACAGGCAGCCACAGATAGACTGGTAACCACAGACAGGACAGGGCCTTGGTGGGCCATCTTGAGAAGCCTGTAAATTTAATCTGTAAATAGTTTTGATTTTGAATGACGTTTCGGGCAGAAACCCTCTACCAGCAGTCAGACAAATATGGCCTCTTTAGTGCATCCACACATAAAATACTTTCAGTATCTGCTTATTGTTTTAATTTATTTGTAGTGCCAATTACATGGTTATTTGTAAAAAGTAAAAAAAATAAAATAAAAAACAAAAACTCCAACAGGCAGCCACAGACAGACTGGTAAACACAGACAGGGAACTACAGACAGACTGGTAACCTCAGACTGGTAACCAAAGACAGACAGTTCCCCTTCGAGGGAACTCGAACTGCGTCGGTTACGACACTATGGGAACGCCTCTAGGCGAAGCAGGTCTGAACGTGAATGAAATCACTCCAATCCTATTGGCCTGTTGCTAGAACGGTAAGGTGTGACGGAATAACCGGAGGAGTATAAAGCACACCTGTACACACTCATCATTAGCTTTTTTCTATTCAGCAGGCGCTCTGTATGTTGTTTGAAGAAAGCTCCAGTCCTACAAGCAGTATGTCTTACCTGAAGAAGAAGTCTACCAGCATGTCCGGCAACCAGATGTACAGAAGGTGTGTTTTTTCTTGCCCTCGGTACATCACGGATGGAGATTCTCATGAGATGTGTGTCTCATGTTTGGGGATGGAGCACGCACGGGCAGCTCTCGAGGGGGCTGCCTGCGCCCGTTGCGAAGCCCTTTCCGTGCGGGTACTGAGGTACAGCATGGCTCTCTTTCCGAGGATAGCCGGATGTGTTTTCCCCGTGGCGGGGCCCTGCGGCCGCTGAGGCGGCCCGGCGGCTTCACTCATGGGTTCACAGCGTGATCTGTCGGAGGATTTCGGGACGGCTGAGGCTTTTTCCCGACCTTCATCCGCTGGCTCCGACGCTTCCTTTCCTCGTTCGGGAGCCCGTTTTCGGCTTCTCCCGCTCGCGGTTTTGGATCCGGAGACGCTGCAGCAATCCGACTCCGAGGAGGCGGATGTGCTCAGCGCAGTGGACGATGACTTCCGGGTGTCGGGGCGGCGTCATCTGGCCGCGCCCGACTATGACGTGCTGCTGGAGGTGGTGACTAGAGCCGTGGCTAAGCTCAACATCAACTGGCCACGGGAGGAGCAGACACCACAGGCTAGTGGTAGCTTGATGAAAGGTTTCTTAAGCACCACACGCCACCTCCACGCCGGTCTCTGCCATTCTTCCTGATTTACATGATGAGTAAATCATGGGGCAGACCCTTCTCTACATGGCTTTCCACACCCCGATCACTGAACTACAGTAATGTGATGGGGGTTAGGGACCGTGGTTATGGGAGGATGCCTCGGGTGGAGGATGAGCTTGCGAGCTATCTCTCCCCTCGACTTGCGTCCTCCCTGGAGAAGCCGGCATTACCATCCAAACCATGTCGCACCACATCCACGCTTGTGGGGAAGGCGTACATGGCAGCGGGCCAGGCAGGTGCGAGCTTGCACACCACGGTGCTTCAAGCCTACCAAGCCAACCTGCTACAGGAGATGGTTCAGAGGGGGGGTCCCTCCGAGGAAGATCTGGCGGAGCTTCGCAGAACCACGAAGCGTTAGACGCAGTGCGAAGCGTTCCGCCAGTACCTCCCTCACCGGTCTGGACCCAAGGCAGCTGAGGCTGCCAGGCGTAGGTCCCTTCCCTCTACGAGCTCCTACGGAGAGGAGGGAAGCAGAGTGTCGCTTCTCGGGGGGCCCCCCGAGGAGCTGGGGCAACGAGACGGCGCTCTCACCCTCAGCCGTCTGAGAGACGCGATCTGAGGACCGTCATCCAGTCCCGACGGAGCTCAGGGAAGACCGGGGTAGGGGAGTCTTTCTCCCCTCCCGCACCCCCCCCACCCCCCCCGGAGGCCGACCGAGGTCCCCTCCGCCGTGGCAACAGGTGATGTTATCCCGCCGTTTACACGTTCAGGACGCACCTGCCACCACCGAGTCCGCGCCGTACTGCCTGCCCCGAGGGTCTGCAGGCGGACGGCATCCCGACTCACTCACCGTGGATCTTCGGCGGCTCCCCCCTGCCGTTCTGGGGCTTCAGGGGTCCACCAGAAGATCACACGAGACACCGACCACCAGCCCCGAGGGGCTGGTTCCGTTGGCAGACTTTGCAGACGCTTGGCGGAGCCTGACGAACATTTCTCCGCGGGTCCTGCGCACTGCCATAGATGGGTATCGACTACAGTTCAAAACCCGCCCTCCAAATTCAACAGAAGAGAGGGGGTGGTTTGGACTGTGGTCCGCCCGGAGCAAGGTCCGGTGTTGGGACAGGAAGTTTGTACTCTGCTGAGGAAAGGGGCCGTGGAACGTGTCTCCCCCCCAGACAGAGACGCCGGTTCTACAGCCGGTACTTCATAGTCCCCAAGAAGGACGGAGGGCTGCGTGCCCTATTTTGGATCTGCGGGTTCTAACCGGTCTCTGAGGAGATTCAGGTTCAAGATGCTCATCATCCCCGCCACCGTGACGCACATCCAATCTGAGGATTGGTTCGTCACGATAGATCTAAAGGACGCCTATTTCCAGGTCTCCATCCGTCCTTCTCACAGGAAGTTCTTGAGGTTTGCCTTCGGGGGTGTGGCTTACCAGTATCGGGTTCTTCCATTCGGCCTGGCACTTCCCCTAGCACATTCACCAAGTGTATGGATGCAGCACTGGCCCCGCTGAGGCTCCGGGGCATCCGGATTTCAACTTCATCGACGACTGGCTCATCCTAGCCCAGTCTCGAGAGTTGGCAGTTCGGCATCGAGATGTCGTTCTGGCTCGTCTGCGGCGTTTAGGGCTGAGGCTCAACGCAAAGACGAGCGTGCTGGCGCCCACCCAACGGGCTACGTTCCTAGGGGTTGCATGGGATTCGACAACGATGCGGGCACAATTGTCTCCGGCACGTGTCGACACCATATTGGCTGCCGTGAAAGGGGTGAAGTTAGGCCACGCCATCACTATGAAACACTTTCAACGAGTGTTGGGTCTCCTGGCGGCTGCGTCCAGCGTAATACCATCTGGACTGCTGCACATGAGACCCCTGCAGTGGTGGCTAAGGAACAAGGGTTTTTCCCCGAGGGGAATCCTCTCCGTCTGGTTTGGGTTACGCACAAGTGTCTTCGTTCCCTATCAGTTTGGAAGGAAACTTGGTTCCTGTCCCAGGGGCCCGTGCTGGGAGGGTCTTGTCGCGGCTGGTTCTTTCGACAGACGCCTCCCTCACGGGCTGGGGCGCGGTCATGGACGGCCGCTTTGCAAGGGGATCCTGGCAGGTGCATCGATCCGAGTGGCATATCAACTGTCTCGAGATGTTGGCGGTGTTCCAGGCTCTAAGGAGTTTCCTGCCCGATCTCCAAGGCCACCACGTCCTGGTTCGCTCCGAGGAGAACAACACAGCGGTGGTGGCCTATCTGAATCACCAGGGCGGTCTGCGCTCGCGCCCTCTGGACAGACTGGCGCGTCAGATTCTCCTGTGGTCCCAGCAGAGGTTACTATCGCTCAGGGCGATGTATCTCCTGGGGACGCAGAATCAGGGAGCAGACCTGCTGTTGAGGCAGGGGCTGAGGCCCGGGGAATGGAGACTTCACCCCGAAGTGGTTCGAGCCCCATAGACGATCTGTTTGCGTCTCAAGAGACTACGCACTGCCCGCTATGGTTTCTCTCGTTCCTCCAGCCCCGTTGGGTCTGGACGCCATGGTACATTCGTGGCCGAGGCTACGTCTGTACGCTTTTCCCCCAGTCGCTCTGCTCCCGGGGTTCTGGAGCGGGTCCGCCAGGACTATGTCGGCCTACTGCTCGTAGCCCCGTTCTGGCCAACCCGGGTGTGGTTCTCGGACATCATGTCGCTCCTGGACGGCCCGCCGTGGCGGGTCCCTCTGAGGAGAGACCTGCTGTCCCAGGCGCAGGGCCGGGTTCTTCACCCTTGCCCCGCCATATGGCGACTGTGGGTCTGGCCCCTGAGGGGGCACAGTACCTAGAGGCGGGTCTAACAGCCGGAGCAGTCGAGACTCCTGAGCTCCAGGGCCCCGTCCACACGGAGGATGTACGGCCTGAAGTGGAGTGTTTTCTCCACTTGGTGTAGGGAGCGGTCGGTGGACCCTGTTACCTGCCCGGTGGTTCAGGTACTTGAGTTCCTCCAGGACCGGTTCTCTGCTGGTCTTTCCCCTTCCACCCTCAAGGTGTACGTGGCAGCTATTTCATCTTTCCACACCCCTCTGAGGGAGGGGTTCTTGGGGAAACTTCCCTTGGTTGTACTTTTCCTCCGTGGTGCCCGGAGGATGAGACCTGCGACTCGGTCCAAGGTTCCCACTTGGGATCTGGCAGTGGTTCTTGGGGCGTTGGCTGAGGCCCCCTTCAAACCCCTGGAGTCAGCTGAGGCTAAGCACTTGACCCTCAAGATGGCCTTTCTCCTTGCTATCACCTCTCTGAGGAGGGTGGGGGAGCTCCAAGCGCTTTCGGTTTCCCCGCAAGCCTGGAGTTTGCCCCGGGGAATATTAGG